TTAGAGAAGAACATTTTTCGATCGCTACCCGGATTCGAACCCGGGACCTTTGAAAGAGAGGTCAACACCTTAACCTCTAGGCCATGAGAGCCCCCCGATATCCTGCAGTCCCGATTTAAACGCTTTTTGCTTTAAAGTATTTTAAAAATTGCGGATAAAATGAACCGGTTTCAAGGGGAAATCGGATAAAGTGAACGGCCAAAGTGAGTGAAGGCGAAGAGCGGACCGACCGTGTCTCTGTCGCCATGATGGGAAAATACAATTCTTTGCCTCGGCCATCGGCAGACAATCCCAGCTCGGTGTTGGCGACGGCAATCAGGAAGAAAGAAAGAGCTCTAGCCTGGGCTCGCCCGCTGTGTTGTCTCCCCCCCCTCCCCAACCTCCACCATAGACCCACCCCTTCACGTAGCTACTGTTTCTTTCAAGGCCTCCACAGCACAAAGTCTGCTTCCAATATCAAGGCACCCCGGAAATTGCAGAATGACAAACATACATAAGAAGTAGAGGTCGCTAGTTTGAGTGTCCACGCTGTGTACATACCAGAGAGCACACCCTAGCCCTAAACCAAAACTCTCTGCCTAGACTGCAGCAAAGAACAGATGTCGAAAAGCTCCATTAATTTTCACGTGGCATTGGGACAATGGACACACACTCAAAGGTTACTGGATTAACCACAACAACAACAACAACATGCATATATTAATGGGTAGTCTTTTTTTAATCTATTTGAAGGTAGATTTTCCCAGGCATCTGAGAAAATTTGGAATGTTCCACAAGGTCTCTCTACTCTCTGTGTAATCTTTGACAGTGAAGTATATAGAATTTACTTTCCAACAGGGATACGCCTTTTATGAAGGTAATTGATTCTTCTTCTGTCTACACTCTATTATTCTATAACACAAACATGGCGAAATTGGCGGGTCGCGGAAATCTTTTTGTTTTGTAGGAATTTCACAATGTGCAGGTTTTAAATTCAAGGAATACGACAGGTGTATCAGAAAGCATCATGATCCTATTTTGCTAGCGATATGGGCATGTGAGATTGTGCACAAGTCTCCACTTTCTTGAGTCAATCACAGACCGGTTTTTACAGAGAGAGCAACTCAAACAGAACTCCACACTTGTCAAGATTTACATGTATAAGACAATCACCTGTACAAACGACCACTCCCCACTTCCCCGTTTCCACCAGGAAATCCTATTGCACACAGTGATAAATAACAAACAGACAGTCAAACCCTCAATCTTTGAGTGCTGCGCTGAAACAACAGACATCTTCCTTTCTTCAAACCCCCTCCCCCTCAACCTCCCCTTCACAACAAGATCTTGTATTCCCCCTCTCACCTCCCTCTCACAACAAGATCTTGTATTTCTCTGAGCGAGGCACTCGGTTGATGACCAGGCGTCCGTCGTAGCTGAGCGAGGCAAAGGTCCAGGGGTCAGCGCTTGACCAGCCGACGGCGTAGACGCTGTCCTCGTGCTCCTCATAGGTGGCGATCACTCCGTCCTTGGGCGGCTCCTGTGGGCTGGGGAGGGACACCAACCAACAACCCACTCAGGGACAACTGCACGATTCCCAGGCTATATCGCAGTTCACAATTCACAAACTAATTCCCTCGCTATATCGCAGTTCACATTTCACAAACTAATTCCCTCGCTATTATATCGCAGTTCACATTTCACAAACTAATTCCCTCGCTATATCGCAGTTCACAATTCACAAACTAATTCCCTCGCTATATCGCAGTTCACATTTCACAAACTAATTCCCTCGCTATTATATCGCAGTTCACATTTCACAAACTAATTCCCTCGCTATATCGCAGTTCACAATTCACAAACTAATTCCCTCGCTATATCG